TGGTGAAACTCTGTCTCTACTAAAAATACAAAAATTAGCTGGCTGCAGTTGTGTGCGCCTGTAATCCCAGCTACTTGGGAGACTGAGGCAGAAGAATCACTTGAACCCAGGAGGTAGAGGCTGCAGTGATCTGAGATGGCACCACTGCACTCCAGCCTGGGCGATACAACGAGACTCTGACTTTAAAAAAAAAAAAAAGAAAGAAAGAAAAAAAAGTGTATGGATTTGCAAGGCTCTCCAAAGCAGTTCTCTCTAGTGAACACAACATCCTTGATACAAATTCCTCCCTCCCCTCCACTCCCCACGGGCAGGACGAGGGAGGCGCCTGCCCTCTCGTCCCCTGGCGGTCTGTGTAGCTCCTGGCAGCCTCGGGAAGCCCAGGACAGCAGGGCAGTATACTTGCGACCTGCCCCGCCCTTTGGCTCCTGGGGAGAGGACAGGACGCACCCCACGTGGCCAGGCCTGCATCAGGGTCCGGCTTTATTGCAGGCTGTAATGCAGTGGTGAGATCATAGCTCACTGCATCCTCGACCTCCCGAGCTCAAGTGATCTTCTATCTCAGCCTCCCAAGTAGCTGAGCCCACAGGAGCACGCCACCACGCCAGGCTAATTTTTGTCATTGGGGCGGTGCGTCTTGGTGCAGTCTCCACGTTCTCTCAGAAGAACGCGGGCGCAACGCTGGACCACGCGTCATCGGGCAGCCGGCGCGACCTCCCCGCCCCCTATAGTCCCGAAGCTTCCAGAGGCCCGTGGCAGGGGTGTGGCGTGGGGGATGGGGGATGGGGTGGGAGTTGGGGCTTCCCAAGCAATCAAATCTGTTTCCTTCCCAAGGAGGGCAGGTGCTGAGCTTGGCAAGCCTCTAGCCAGCTCCTCCCCGTCTGCCCCACCTGCTCCTCCCAGCTCTCCCCTCCATATCGGTTTTCAAGCCATTTTCTCCACCTTAACCTGCACTAGCATCTGAGCAGGGAGCAGTGTGGAAGAACCTGTCCTCGCACTGCGTGAGGATTCAAAAGGCCTCTCAACCTAGAAAGCCCTGGAAGCCAAAATTTGTGCGTTTCAGCAAGGGGCATGGCTGGGGGTAGGAGGTAAAGTTCTGGCCACAGAATTTAAGCTTCTGCTTCAAAGGAGCCTTTCTAATCTGCTGGGAAATCTCTCCAGGTTCTCTCCACGAAGGCATTTTGCCTGCATTTGTCTCCTCTGGCCAATAAGGAATCCTACTTCCAGCCCGTTGGGGGGGGCTTATGCCTGTAATTCTAGCACTTTGGGAGGCTGCAGCAGGAGGATCACTTGAGGTCAGGAGTTTAAGACCAGGCTGTGTAACATAGTGAGACCTAGTCTCTACAAAAAATTAGCTGAGCATGGTGGTGTGCTCCTGTGGTCTCAGCTACTTGGGAGGCTGAGGCGGGAGGATCACTTGATTCCGGGAGGTCGAGGCTGTAGTGAGCTGTAATCGCACCACTGCACTCCAGCCTGGGTGACAGACTGAGACCCTATCTCTTCCCCCCCTCTCGCCCCCCCCACCACCAAAAGAAAAAAGAAAAAAAAAAAAAGGAAAAAAAAAAAAAAAAACCTGGCCAGGCATGGTAGCTCGAACTTGTAATCCCGGCAATTTGGGAGGCTGAGGCAGGTGGATCCCTTGAACTCAGGAGTTCAAGACCAGCCTGGGAAACATACCGAAAACCTGTCCCCACAAAAAAAATACAAAAATTAGCTGGGTGTGGTGGCGGGCGCCTGTAGATCCAGCTACTAGGGAGGCTGAGGCAGGAGAATTGCTTGAACCTGGGAGGCAGAGGTTGCTGTGAGCCAAGATGGCACCACTGCACTCCAGCCTGGGTGACAGATTGAAACTGAAACTGTCTCAAAAAAAAAAAAAAAAAAAAATTCCCATTCCCCCTCCCACATCAGGTCCTCACCATGTGCCTCTCACCCTCTCACCAGTGGCCTCGGGGCTGCCTAGGAGAGGCCTTGGTGTCCTTGCCCACCTAAGCTTGACACGAAGGAAATGGGAGCTCTGCCTTACGAAATGCAGCCACTGTGGTCTGTTTCTAACCCCCATTCCAGAAGTAGCACAGCTCCCCAACCGTGGCCCAGGAGGAGGGCAGGGCTGTGGTTCCTGAACTGTTGTGGCACCAGAGGGTTCATGACAGTTGGTGTGATGGGTTTTCCAGGAGTCAGACCAGTGAGCAGAGCCAAGGCTAGTCACCATCATCCATCATCCATACCCAAAGCTCTGGAGCTTACATGCTCAACAACAACAGCATCCACGCTCCGCAAAAAAAAAAAAAAAAAAAAAAAAAAAAAAAAAAAAAATCCTCCCCAACCATCCTCTTTCTTTCTTATTGGCTGACTGATGAGACAGTTTCACTTTTCTCGCCCAGGCTGGATATGGCTCACTCCAATCTCCGCCTCTCGAGTTCAAGAGATTCTCCTGTCTCAGCTTCCTGGAAGCTGGGATTACAGGCGCCTGTCACCATGCCTGGCTAATCTTTGTATTTTTAGTAGGGGTTTTGCCATATTGGCCAGGCTGTTCTCGAACTCCTGACCTCAGGTGATCCGCCTGCCTCAGCCTCCCAAAGTGCTGGGATCACAGGCGTGAGCCACCATGCCTGGCCGATACCACTACTATAAATAATAATACTATTAAATAGAAATGATATCTAGGCTGGGCGAGGTGGCTCACATCTGTAATGCCAGCACTTTGGGAGGCCGAGGGAGGTGGGTCATGAGGTCAGGAGTTCGAGACCAGCCTGACCAACATGGTGAAACCCCATCTCTACTAAAATGACAAACAAATTAGCTGTATGTGGTGGTACTTGCCTGTAATCCCAGCTATTTGGGAAGCTGAGGCAGGAGAGTCACTTGAAAGCGGGAGTTGGAGGTTGCAGTGAGCTGAGATTGCGCCACTGCACTCCACCCTGGGCGACAGAGACTCTGTCTCAAAAAAAAAAAAAAAAGAAAAAGAAATGGGGTATCACCATGTTGGCCAGGTTGGTCTCGAACTCCTGACCTCAGATGATCTACCTGCCTCGGCCTCCAAAAGTGCTGTGATTACAGGTGTGAGCCACCGCGCCCCACCCAGAGTCTGTGTTTCTTCCACTAAATCACACTGTCTCCCAAACTCCTCCCACCTCACCCTCCATTCCCCTGCCTCACCACTACACTTCCACAGCATGATCTCTGGGTGTGGAACCCCAAAATATGTGATGTCTTCCAGGCAGTGAGCTCAGCATTTCTTCCTGGACGAAGACGCTTAACAGTGCACTTTTCTTCCTTTCTTGGGATTGAGATCCACTGTCTTATGGGGAGCAACCATGCCATCTACAGAACATAGTTAGGGCAGAGGTACTGAGACAGGGATTTTAGAGATTAATAAAACTGGGTGGGGACAGGATCATCAACTTTTCATTTCACCAGTGAAGACCATTTAAAAGAACACCATTTATATATAATACCACTACTATTTTTGGTGGGGGGGAGATGGAGTCTCATTCTTATCTCCCAGGCTGGAGTGCAGTGGCGAGATCTTGGCTCACTGCAACCTCCACCTCACCAATTCAAGTGATTCTCCTGCCTCCGCCTCCGAAGTAGCTGGGATTACAGATGCCCATCACTATGCCCAGCTAATTTTTAGTAGAGATGGGGTTTCACCATGTCGGCCAGGCTGGACTTGAACCCCTGACTGCAGGTGATCCGCCCGCCTGAGCCTCCCAAATTGCTGGGATTACAGGCGTGAGCCACCATGCCTGGTCAATACCACTACTATCAATAATAATACTATTAAAAAAATGATATCTAGGCTGGGCGCGGTGGCTCACGCCTATAATCCCAGCCCCAGCACTTTGAGAGGTGGAGGTGGGAGGATCACTTGAGCCCAGGAGTTCGGGACCAGCCCAGGCAGCAAAGAGAGACCTTGTCACTACAAAAAAAAAAAAAAAAAAAAAAAAAAAAAAATGCTGAGTGTGGTGGCACGTGCCTGTGGGCCCAGTTTCTCAGGAGGGTGAGTTTGGGATGATCACTTGAGGCTGGAAGGTTGAGGCTTCAGTGAGCTGTGATTACACCATTGCACTCCAGCCTGGGAAACATTGTGAGACCTTATCTCAAAAAAAAAAAAAAAAAAAAAAAAGGAAAAAGAATGAAAAGAAAAAAAAAGAAAGATGCCGGGTGCAGTGGCTCACGCTGTAATCCCAGCATTTTGGGAGGCCAAACCGGGTGGATCACCTGAGGTCACAGGTTTAAGACCAGCCTGGCCAACATGGTGAAATCCTGTCTCTACTAAAAATACAAAAATTAGCTGGGTATAGTGGCAGGTGCCTGTAATCCCAGCTACTTGGGGGGCTGAGGCAGGAGAATCGCTTGAACCTGGGAGGCGGAGGTTGCAGTGAGCCGAGATCACGCCACTGCACTCCGGCCTGGGCAACAGAAGCAAAATAATAATAATAATAATAAAAAAAGATTATTTAATCATTACAGAGAGAGACTATGATGTACTAGGCATTGTTCTTGGTCTTCACCTGAATTGTCTGGTTTGCTCCCCATAAAAACTACTATTTTGTAGGCATTGTTGTTAACCCCATTTTATAGACAAGGAAACTCAGAAAGAAAGATGTTAAATTGTTCCTGAGTGTAAGCTCATAAGCACTATATCTCTCTCATCATTGATTCATAAAAGACATCTTTGAAAGCTGTGAAAGGAAAATAAAGCCGGGTATGGTGGCTCACGCCTGTAATCCCAGCACTTTGGGAGGCTGAGGTGGGTGGATCACCTGAGGTCGGGAGTTCAAGACCAGCCTGACCAACATGGAGAAACCCTGTGTCTACTAAAAATACAAAATTAGCTGGGTGTGGTGGCGCATGCCTGCAATCCCAGCTACTTGGGAGGCTGAGGCAGGAGAATTGCTTGAACCCGGGAGGTGGAGGTTGCGGTGAGTCAAGATTGCCCCATTGCACTCCAGCCTGGGCAACAAGAGCAAAACTCTGTCCCAAAAACATTAAAAAAAGAAGAAGAAAGAAAGAAGGAAAATAAAAACTTGGGACCCCAATTCACTCTGCCAAGACGAAAAACAATTTAGCCGAAAGCTGAGTCATGCAAGAAGCTGCCTCTCTTTTTGTTCCTAAGCGGACAGCTACACAGAAAAGATTAAATATCTCCACCTATAGCTACTCTGTTTACCTTATCTTATGTAAAGTGCTGTTTACTGAGTAGGAGATGAATACATAATTGATTCTTCCCCTACCTGCTCTTTTTCTCTCACAACATGTGGATTCAATAATGTGACCATACCTTCCCTCTCTTCCCTCAAGCTTGCATTTCTCCTTTATTATATATTACTATTGTTATTTTTTGAGATGGAGTCTCGTTCTTGTTGCCCAGGCTGGAGTGCAATGGCGCGATCTCAGCTCACTGCAACCTCTGCCTCCTGGATTCAAGTGATTCTCCTGCCTCAGCCTCCTGAGTAGCTGGGATTACAGGTGTCCCCCACCATGCCCAGCTAATTTTTGCCTTTTTAGTAGAGACGGGGTTTCACCATGTTGGCCAGGCTGGTCTCCAACTCCTGACCCCAGGTTATCCACCCTCCTTGGCCTCCCAAAGTGCTGGGATTATAAGCGTGAGCCACTGCACCTGGCTTTGCACTTCCCCTTTAAATACTGAAGCCTGGCCAGGCGAGGTGGGTTATGCCTGTAATCCCAGCACTTTGGGAGGCTGGGGCAGGAGGATTGCTTGAGCCCAGGAGGTCGAGACCAGCCTGTGCAACAGAGCAAGACCTTGTCTCTACAAATAATTTAAAAATTGGCCAGGTGTGGTGGTGGCACCTAGGGTCCCAGCTACCTGGGAGGCTGAGGTGGGAGGATCACTTGACCCCAGGCAGTTGAGGCTGTGGTGAGCTATGACTGTGCCATTGCATTTCAGCCTGGGTGACAGAGTGAGATCCTGTCTCTAGATAAATAAATAAATACTGAAGCCCTCAAAGTTATCTTTGGAGAAAGGCAGAGACCTGCCTCCCAGACATGTCCTTAATTTTGGCAAAATAAACTGCTAAATTGAGACCTGTTTCAGATACTTTTTGGTTTGCAAAGCAATCAAGTACGCAAGGGAAGTCCTAACCTCCGAATCTGGAAATGCAAAAGTAAAAGCTCAGCCAATGAAGTCAGACAGCTTTGGGTTTGAGTTTGGGACAGTACTTGCTGTGCCTCAGTCTGTTCAACTGTAATATGCAAATACCAATACCTACCTCATAATGCTATTGTGAGGCGTAAATGACTTCACACACTGAAGGCTTAACACAGTGACTGGCATATCTAGGGATGCTGGATACATACCAGCTGTGAGGCTTATCACCACTGTTCCTGGCATGGCCCTGCAAGCTCATAGTCTGCTGAAAAGAAACTAGGTATAGCTACTACGGCTTGGTCCTATGATTGCGGTCAGGCAATTGCTGTGATTGGCTCTCCCCTTCCTCCCTCACCCCCTCCCATCTTGCCCTCTGTTATTAACATAAGCAGTAAAAAACATGTAGGCTCTGCTTCCCATTGGTTGAAATTGGTGTTTCCTTGGCAGCACTTGCAAACATTCCATCTGGCAGTCTGAGAGAAGCTACTGAGAGAATCCTTGGGAGACATCCCCAGCTACCTACCACTGCTCCGGTTCCAAGCAAAGAAGATCTGCTTACTCCGGTACTGGCGTTTATCAGGGGTGGGGGAGTCCACAGAAAGGACTTGCAGTAGTTCTCCGTATTCATCACCCAGACCCCTAACGTACATTCCCCTGTCTCTCCCCACCCATTCTGCCTATCTGCCCTGTGAGAAGGGGAGGTGAGGGGAGGGAAGGGGAGAGGATGGGACGGGAGGGAAGGGAAGGGGAGGGGACCAGACGGGACGGGAGTGGAGGGAAGGGGAGGGGAGGGAAGAGGAGGGGAAGGGGAGGGGAGGGAAGAGGAGGGGAAGGGGCGAGAGGGGAGGGAAGGGGAGGGGAGGGGACGGGAGGGGAGGGGAGGGAAGGGGAAGGGACAGGACCGGACAGGAGGGGAGGGGAGGAAAGGGGAGGGGAGGGGAGGAAAGGGGAGGGGAGGGAAAGGGAGGGAAGGGGAGGAGGGGGAGGAGAGGAGGGGAGGAGGGGAGAGGAGAGGGGAGGGGAAGGGAGGGGAGGAGAGGGGGAAGGGGAGGAGAGGGGGGAGGGGAGGAGAGGCGGGAGGGGAGAAGAGAGGGGAGGGGAGGAGAGGGAGGAGAGGAGGGAAGAAAAATAGGAGAGGCCAGTGGGAGGGGGGCTTAGGAATGATGTGTGCCCACAGCCGTGTGAGGGTAAAAATTGAGCTTCTTTCTGGGCACTGTTCCCCATCTTTCCTCTCCTGTTGGAGCACAGGCTCCCCAGAGAAGGTCTTGAGGAGATCCTTCCATGTAGAAAAGCACCCACCCCATGTGCTTAGTGTTGAGGTCACAGATTTGACTTCTCCATTTATCAATACGCAATTTGCTGAAAGCCAAGTTACTGAATGTCCAGGTTACCAAACAGGCAATTTTCTTTTTTTTTTTTTTTTTGAGATGGAGTTTCGCTGTCACCCAGGCTGGAGTGCAGTGGTGCAATCTCGGCTCACTGTAACCTACGCCTCCGGGTTCAAGCGATTCTACTGCCTCAGCCTCCGGAGTAGCTGGAACTATAAGCATGCGTCACCACACCTGGCTAATTTTTGTATTTTTAGTAGAGATGGGGTTTTGCCATGTTGGCCAGGCTGGTCTCGAACTTCTGACCTCAGGTGATCCTCCCACCTTGGCCTCCCAAAGTGGTGGGATTACAGGGCTGAGGCACCATGCCTGGCCCCAAATGGACAATTTTCTAAAGGATCAAGTTGATATATGGCTACCTCACCAAAGTCTACTGAAATTACCAATTTACCGAAAAACCTTTGTGCAGTTGTCTTTAACTACAGAGTTTATAGTAAATTGCTCTAGCCAAATTGGCATAGTCTAAGTAAGGGCTAGGGAGAGCCAGTTCTCTAGTGTTAAGGGCCTTTAGGCCCCTCACTGCGCACCTTATAGCCTCTTGCTGCTCTGGAGTGGGCAGCCTGGAAAGGCTCTGTGTCCTCCAGCAGATGATCTTGTCTATCTCCAGCTGCAGCAACAGGGAACTGGGGCAGAGGCAAACTGAGCTTAAAAATGCTAGTATCAGGCCAGGCGCGGTGGCTCATGCCTATAATCCCAGCACTTTGGGAGGCCGACGCGGGTGGATCACGAGGTCAAGAGATCGAGACCATCCTGGTCAACATGGTGAAACCCTGTTTCTACTAAAAATACAAAAATTAGCTGGGTGTGGTGGCACACGCCTGTAGTCCCAGCTACTCGGGAGGCTAAGGCAGGAGAATTGTTTGAACCCAGGAGGCGGAGGTTGCAGTGAGCCGAGATCACGCCATTGCACTCCAGCCTGGGTAACAAGAGCAAATCTCCATCTCAAAAAAAAAATAAAATAAATAAAATAAAGCTAATATCGGTCTGGGCAACATACTGAGACCTATTTAAAAAAAATAGCCAGGTGTCAGCAGGACACAGTGGCTCACGCCTGTAATCCCAGCACACTGGGAGGCTGAGGCAGGTGAATCATGAGGTCAGGAGTTCAAGACCAGCCTGGCCAACATGGTGAAATGCCGTCTCTACTAAAAATACAAAATTTAGCCAGGCATGGTGGCACACGCCTGTAGCCCCAGCTACTCGGGAGGCTGAGACAGGAGAATTGCTTGAGCCTGTGAGGCAGAGGTTGCAGTGAGCTGAAATTGTACCATTGCACTCTAACCTGGGCAACAGAACGAGACTTCATCTAAAAAACCCCCAGCATCTTTATACTTCTTTTTAAAAGTTAAGATGGGTTAAGGAGCAGGGAGGCCTCAGTTGCCCAGGCTGGTTTCAAACTGATAGCCACAAGCTATCCTCCTGCCTCAGCATCCTATATAGCTGAGATTATGGGCACACGTCACCACACCCACTTCATTTTAACATCATTTAAAAAGAGCCAGGTGCCCTCACTTGCTCCTAGCAGGGGATTGGGTTTCTTATTAAAGATTCAACTGGGAATCAATATTGTTAGCACTCCAAAGAAGCGCTACTTTTTTTCTACTACATTTTGATTTAAGTCATTATGGTTTTGAGAATATGAGAATCCTTGGTTTTCAGGAAAAGTAGATCTCAGCAGCCAGGCACAGGTCTCACTCCTTCCCTTAAACCCCCCATCCCCTCCCTAGGGGCAACAAGTGCTTCCTCTCTCTTGTGATTCTTCAAGAGATGGTCTGTACTTCTATGAGTGCGTTCACATGTGTGTACATACACATGCATGCAGTGAATTACTTCTTGAGGTTTCTTTTTTCCCCAGGAAAAAGAAAATGAGTGAGACTCAAAATTCAACAAGCCAGAAAGCAATGGATGAGGATAACAAAGCTGTAAGCCAAACAATGCCGAACACACAAGACAAGACGAACACACAAGACCACGAAGATGAATTGACTCGAGTAGCTCTAGCTCTGGTTGAGGATGTCATCAATTATGCTGTGAAGTTTCTGGAAGGTAGTAATCCCATTTGTTTGGATGCCTAAAGAATTGTCTCATTATATAGTGCCACGCCACCAGGCAACTAACAAATTCACACCTTTGTTTTTGCAGATGAGCAAAACCCTATGAAAAATATCAAGTGGATGACTCACGGTGAATTCACTGTGGAAGAGGGTCGTAAACAAATTGACGAATATCTTTCGGTAAGTTAGGCCGACCACTTCAGCTTGGTACTTCAGTGTGAAGAACAATAAAGACACTCAGCAGATCAAAAGTTTGAAGTCTGGAAAATCTAGGAGACAGTATCAAAGGGGGCTGACTAGAATAAGTAAACATGGTCTCCATCTCAGTTCCAAAATCAAGGTGGGGTAGTCTTTGAAGGCGAAAAGCACAACCACAGTCATGTTGCCCTGTGTCTGTATCATTCTAACCTTCCATTTCTCTGGGAAAATCTGCCCTTCCTACTTAAGCCATTTGGCCATGCTGGTGCATTAAATGGGGGCCTAGTGGCCTAAGGAGGGAGCTGCTCCTCCAAAATAGGAGTTCTCCACCACCAGCATTATTTAGTTTTTTTTAGAGACATGGTCTCACTCTGTTACCTAGGTTGCAGTGCAGGGGCTCTATCCTAGCCCCCTGCAGCTTTGAACTCCTGGGCTCAAGCAGCCTTCCCACCTCAGCCTTCCAAGTAGACAGGCGTGTGTCACCACACCTGGCTAGTTTTAAAATTTTTTGTAGAAACAGGATCTCGCTAGGTTGCCCAGGTTGGCCTTGCACTCCTGGCCTCAAGGGGTACTGCTGCCTTGGCCTCCCAAAGTGCTGGGATTATAGGTGTGAGCCATTGCACCCCACCTCCACCACCAATTTTAGAATGCTCCCATTAACAGAGGGGATGCAGATGGATCAGAAGACATTTTGATTTGGCTTTGGAATATATTGCCTGCATAGTAAGATGTACAATCCCATGAATTCCTTTGTTTTTCTGCCTGTGTCTGACTTTGACTTCTTTGTGTGGCTTATCCTGGCAGCTTTGCTGAGAAGGCCCTGGATTAGTGAGCGGATAAAGAAGAATGTCTTGGGCCAGGCACAGTGGTTCGCATCTGTAATCCCAGCACTCTTTTGGGAGACCAAGATGGGAAAACCAATTGCTTGAGCCCAAGAGTTTGAGGCAGCCTGGGCAACATAGCGGGACCCTATCTCTATAAAAATAAAATATTAGGCTGGGCGTGGCGGCTCACACCTGTAATCCCAGCACTTTGGGAGGCCGAGGCAGGCAGATCACAAGATCAGGAGTTTGAGACCAGCCTGGCCAATATGGTGGAACCTCGTCTCTATTAAAAATATAAAAATTAGCTGGGCATCATTATGCACACCTGTAGTCCCAGCTACTCTGGAGGCTGAGGCAGGAGAATCGCCTGAACCTGGGAGGCGGAGGTTGCAATGAGCTGACATAGTGCCACTGCACTCCAGCCTGGGCGACACAGCAAGACTCCATCTCAAAAAAAAAAAAATTCGCTGGGTGCGGTGGTACCTATAGTCCCAGCTACTCAGGAGGCTGAGGTGGGAGGATCACTTGAACCCAGGAGGTCGAGGCTGCAGTAAGCTATGATTGGGCCATTGCACTTGGCCTGGGTGACAGAGTGAGAGACAGGGTCTCAAAAAAAAAAAAAAAAAAAGAATGGCTTGAAATCCTTCTCATTGTGCTTCTAGGGAACAGAGACCAGTTGAAATTGGTGGAGGCGAACTCCCCTACCCCTGGGAAAAGTACCAGCCGTCTCTGTTCCCCAGACCAGCCCCTCAAAGCCTACAGCCCTCAGGGCAGTTTCCCAGGCCTTTGGAAGGCCTGGTCAGGTGTGAAGGAGGAAAAGTCAGGGATCTCTGGCTCTAAGCCCTGTATGCTCCAGCGGGCACCACTCACCGTTCTCATTCGGAGGGTTATCTTGAACATAGTGAAGAGAAATGGTGTAAGTTACTCGAACCTTCCTGCTGTGGAACACATCTCCACTTGAGGTTGGGCAAAGGTCCCTGCCTACTGCACTCAGCGTTCCTGAATCAAACTAGAATGGAACACACAGCAAGAAGGAAAAATTTCTCTCACAAATCCCACTGGTCATTCTGAGTAAAAGGCAAAAGTAAGTCCTGACAATGGTCTACAAGGTCCGATATGATCTGAGTTCTCTTTCCCCTCCCAACTTACGGCTCAGCTCCTATCACTTCCCACCTTCCCCCCTCACCTTCCTCCCTCAGCCACGTTTGCCTCCTTGCCCTTCCTCGACTGCCAGGCGTGTTCCCCCATCAGGACCCTTGCTCTTGCTGTTCCCTCTGCCTGGATCCCTCTCCCCTAACATATATGCCCACGGCTCACTGCTTTACCTCCCTTCAGACTTTTGTTAAAATACCACCTGCTCCTGCTGGGCGCAGTGGCTCATGCCTGTAATCTCAGCACTTTGGGAGGCCAAGGCGGGTGGATCACAAGGTCAGGAGTTCAAGACCAGCCTGGCCAACATGGTGAAATCCCATCTCTACTAAAAGTACAAAAATCAGCCGGGCGTGGTGGTGCAGGCCTGTAATCCCAGCTACTTGGGAGGCTGAGGTGAGGCAGGAGAATTGCTTGAATCCAGGAGGCGAAGGTTGCAGTGAGCTGAGATTGCACCACTACGCTTCAGCCTGGACAACAGAGACTCCATCTCAAAAAAAACCACCTGGCCACCTCATCTAAAATCACAACCCTCTCCACTTCTCTGATTCAGTTTTTCTTCACACTTTCTGCCTAAGATACTAGAGCCTGTTTATTTGTCCTACTGCCTGTCTTACACCAGCAGATCATATGGTCCATGAGGGCAGATTTCTGTTCACTGCTCTGTTCCCAGCCACGAGCAATGTCAGGTACACAGATGCTCCATAAACCTGTGTTGAACACATGAACTTATTTATTTATTTATTTTTGTGTGGTGGAGTCTCGCTTTGTTGCCCAGGCTGGAGTGCAGTAGCACTATCTTGGCTCACCGCAACCTCTGCCTCCTGGGTTCAAGCGATTCTCCTGTCTCAGCCTCCCAAGTAGCTGGGACTACAGATGCGCACAAACACACCCAGCTAATTTTTTTTTTTTTGTATTTTGAGTAGAGACAGGGTTTTACCATGTCAGCCAGGATGGTCTCAATCTCCTGACCTCATAATCTGCCTGTCTCGGCCTCCCAAAGTGCTGGGATTACAGACGTGAGCCACCGCAACTGGCCACGAACAGATTTATTATCTCATTACCATATTTCTTCACAAATAAAGAGCCAGGTCAAAGCATTTGTCTTACCTACTTCGTAGGGCTGTTGTGAGGATAGAGACAATCAGAAAATAAACGACTGAAAAGCTAAATATGTTACATTAACTCATGATGTAAAATCCTCCTGTTCCCAGTCCCACTGATGCAGCAGATCTGAGAAGTGACGTCTCCCATGTAAGTGCCAGGCATTTCCTTTTTTTTTTTTTTTTTTTTGAGACCAAGTTTCACTCTTGTCACCCAGGCTGGAGTGCAATGGTGTGATCTTGGCTCACTGCAAGCTCCGCCTCCTGGGTTCAAGGGATTCTCTTGTCTCAGCCTCCCTAGTAGCTAGAATTACAGGCACCTGCCACCACACCAGGCTAATTTTTTTTTTGGCATTTTTAGTAGAGATGGGGTTTCACCATGTTGGCCAGGCTGGTCCCAAACTCCTGACCTCAGAAAATCTGCCCAGCTTGGTCTCTCAAAGTGCTGGGATTACAGGCATGAGCCACCGCGCCCAGCCAAAGTGCGAGGCATTTCTGATGGAGAGCTTTCTCAAGCTTATTGCCAATTTCCCAAGGTTTACTACACATCAGGGGATTGTAAATTAGGAGTTGTCATTTACTGAGTATTGCTATGTGTTAAGCACTGCAGTGCACATCATCATGCATTATCTCATTTAATCCTCACAACAAAACTGTGTGTGGGTATATCATTGTACCCATTTAACAGATGAAGACTGTTAAATTGCCCAGCCTCTCTCTGATTGAGCCGCAAAATGAAGTTATGATCATATGCCTGTCTGATGTAATCTTTTTTTTTGAGACAGAGTATCGTTCTGTCACCCAGGACTGCAGTGCAGTGGCATGATCTCAGCTCACTGCAAACTCTGCCTCCTGGGTTCCAGGGACTCTCCTGCCTCAGCCTCCCAAGTAGCTAGGACTACAGGTGCATGCCACCATGCCCAGCTAATTTTTGTATTTTTAGTAGAGACAGGGTTTTATCATGTTGGCCAGGTTGGTCTCGAACTCCTGACCTCAAGTGATCTGCCCACTTCAGCCTCCCAAAGTGCTGGGATTACAGGCATGAACCACTGAGCCCAGCCTGATATATTCTTTTTAAAAAATATTTATTTATTTATTTTTTGAGATGGAGTCTTGCTCTGTTGCTCAAGCTGGAGTGCAGTGGTGTAATCTCGGCTCGCTGCAGCCTTAAACTCCTGGACTCAAGTGATCCTCCTGCCTCAGCCTCCTGCGTAGCTAGAACTATGGGTACATACCACACTGGCCGACTAAATCTTTTATTTTTTTGTAGAGACGAGGTCTCACTTTGTTGCCCAGGCTGGTCTTGAACTCCTGGCCTCAAGTGGTCCTCCTGCCTTAGCCTCCTAAAGTGCTGGGATTACAGGTGTGAGCCACTGCACCTGGCCAGTTCTATCTGATATAGTCTTTCTATCACAGTAGGAAAAGTACTTTTTTTTCTTATTTGTTTTTTCTCATTAGGTTTTACTGACCCAGGAAAAGTACTTTTGGATGACAAAAATAATGCAGACTTTTATTATTATTTAAAAATACAAATTTAGCCAGGCGCGGTGGCTCAAGCCTGTAATCCCAGCACTTTGGGAGGCTGAGGCTGGTGGATCACGAGGTCAAGAGATCGAGACCATCCTGGTCAACATGGTGAAACCCCGTCTCTACTAAAGATACAAAAAATTAGCTGGGCATGGTGGTGCATGCCTGTAATTCCAGCTACTCAGGAGGCTGAGGCAAGAGAATTGCCTGAACCCGGGAGGCGGAGGTTGCGGTGAGCCGAGATCGCGCCATTGCACTCCAGCCTGGGTAACATGAGTGAAACTCCGTCCCCATCTCAAAAAAAAAAAAAAAAAAAAAAAAATACAAATTCAAATGACTTTAAGTTACTACAATGTGAATAAGAATAATTAAACCTGGTATCAGAAGGCTGGTACAGGCCAGCATGGTGGCTCACGCCTATAATCCCAGCACTTTGGGAGGCCGAGGTGGGCAGATCACTTGAGGTCAGGAGTTCGAGACCAGCCTAATCAACATGGTGAAACCCCATCTCTACAAAAATACAAAAAAATTAGCTGGGTGTGGTGGCATGTGCCTGTAATCCCAGCTGCTCGGGAGGCTGAGGCAGGAGAAGTACTTGAACCCAGGAGGCGGAGGTTGCAGTGAGCCGTGATCACACCACTCACTGCACTCCAGCCTGGGCAACAGAGTGAGACTGTCTCAAAAAAAAAAAAAGAAGGCATGTATAATTGTGAGGAGGGAACACTTACATATCGTCAATGGCAAAGTTGGTTCATTCTCTTCAGGAACACAGTCTGGCAACAGGAATATACAAATGAGTTTCTTATAAAAGAAAAATTAGAGAATGCCCATCACCTCACACAGTTAAAATTACTTCTATAATAAAAAGAGACATCACTATAAAAAATGTTCAGTGAGCAAAAAGATACAAATTAGAAAATGAAATTACCCACAATACCCATTTCTTTATTTTTTTTCTTTTTTTTTTTTTTTTTGAGACAGAGTCTTGCTCTGTCACCCAGGCTAGAGTGCAGTGGCATGATCGGCTCACTGCAACCTCTGCCTCCTGGGTTCAAGCGATTCTCTTGCTTCAGCCTCCTGAGTAACTGGGATTACAGGCACATGCCACCATGCTTCGCTAATTTTTGCATTTTTAGTAGAGACAGGGTTTCATCATGTTGGTCAGGCTGGTCTTGAACTCCTGACCTCATGATCCACCCGCCTCAGCCTCCCAAAGTGCTGGGATTAAGGCATGAGCCACCGCGCCCGGCCCACAATACACATTTCTATTACCCCAAAGGTCACTTACCATGGGTACCAGTTTTGTGCACATACTTTTTTTCATTGTTTTTTGCCTTCTGCATATACTTCTAGATGCCTGTTGATTTTGAGTGTCTAGTAGTATGTAACTGGCTAAGCCATCCATGATCGAGTAGTACAGTGAGATACTGTTTCCTGGAAGTGAGTGTATGAAGTGGCATTATGTAAAAATCACAAAACACATTCACTGGTGCTACATAAAAGTCTGCTGCCTGCAAACTGATAAAAATGGGAAGAGATTCGCCTGATGGAAACAGTTGAATTTAATGTCATGTTAACGCTGCCTTCATTCACAAAAGTGGGGAAACCACTAAGAGCTGAAAAGAAGAAACTCTTAGAACGGAGGCTTCTGGTGGGGTGGAGAAAGCACTGAGCTGGCTGCTCAGGTGTCCTGGGTACTAGTCCCCCTTTATTGTGTTAGACAGTCCCTACCCACTTCTAGGCCCTGCTATCCTCATCTGCAAAGTGAAGAGCTGCATCAGATTATGTCTGGGGACCAATTCAATGTTATAAAGTCTATAATTGTTTGGCAGATTAAACGTTAGGGCTAGAAAAGTATATTGAGTAATACAGAACAGTTGAAAATCAAGGCATACTCTGGCCGGGCATGTGGCTCACACCTGTTATCCCAGCACTTTGGGAGGCCGAGGCAGGTGGATTACCTGAGGTCAGGAGTTCGAGACCAGCCTGGCCAACATGGTGAAACCTCGTCTCTATTAAAAATACAAAAATTAGTGCAGCATGCTGGTGCGCACCTGTAATCCCAGCTGCTTGGGAGGCTGAGGCAGAAGAATCACTTGAACCTGGGAGGCAGAGGTTGCAGTGAGCCGAGATCACGCCACTGCACTTCTGCCTGGGAAACAGAGCGAGATTCTGTCTCAAAAATAAAAAAACAAAAAAAAAAAGGCATGCTCCAATGAGCCATAATGGGTTGACTGTTGGGCCCCATCATTAAAAGGAATAATGATTTTGGGGCCAGGCATGGTGGCTCACACCTATAATCCCAGCACTTTGGGAGGCTGAGGCAAGCAGATTACCTGAGGTCGGGAGCTCGAGACCAGCCTGGCCAACATGGTGAAACCGCATCTCTACTAAAAATACAAAAATTAGCTGGGCGGGTGGTGCGCATCTGTAATCCCAGCTACTTGGAGGCTAAGGAAGGAGAATCACTTGAACCTGGGAGGCAGAGGTTGCAGTGAGCTAAGATCACATCAACTGCACTCCAGCCTGGGTGACAGAGCAAGACTGTCTCAAAAAAAAAGGAGGGAATAATGACTTTGGGAGGCCAAGGCCAGTGGATCACTTGAATCCAGGAGTTCGAGACCAGCCTGGGCAATATAGAGAGACCCCTGTCTCTACAAAAAATGAAAAAAACCAGCCAGGTGTGGTGGTGCACACCTGTAGTCTCAGCTACTTGGGCAGCTGAGGTGGGAGGATCACCTAAGCCCGGGAAGGTTGAGGCTGCAATCAGCTATGATCGTGCCACTGAACTCCAGCCTAGGTGACTGAGTAAGACCTCGTTTCAAAAAAAAAAAAAAAAAAAAGAAAGAATACACAGTTCCTGATCTCAAGGAATCTTGAGTCCAGTGCTCCTCTCTGGACTGAAACAGCCAACTGGGTACAAGTTCGAAATAAGCTGAGGCAGGCCAGGCACAGTGGCTCACCCGTTTGTAATCCCAGCACTTTGGGAGGCCAAGGCGGGCAGATAATGAGTTCCAGAGATCGAAACCAGCCTGGCCAACATGGTGAAACCCCATCTCTACTAAAAATACAAAAATTAGCCAGGCGTGGTGGTGTGCCTGTAGTCTCAGCTACTCAGGAAGCTGAGGCAGGAGAATCGCTTGAACCCAGGAGGCAGAGGTTGCTTGAACCCGTGAGCCGAGATCACGCCATTGCACTCCAGCTGGGGCGACAATGCAAGACTCTGTCTCAAAAAAAAGAAAAGAAACAAGCTGAGGCAAAAGGCCAGGCTACATTTTTTTTTAAAGGAGGGCCTGAAATCTTTTTGCTTTCTCCTCCTGTATTCCCTCTCTTCATTACTGGCATTTGTTAGAGTCTCCCAATTCCTTCCTTCTGTGAAGGTTCACAGAAGGAATTCAGGCTCTTCTTTGAGTCAGAAGCTTTGTGTGCTCCAGTAGCCAGCCCAAGGAGGTTCAGTTGAATAGAATTTGTTGAGTACCTGTGACATCCAAGGCCCTGGACTAGGAATCAGGGATGCATTATGACTTCTGTGGGGCCTACGCACTCTTCCTTTTGTAGGCCCCTTTCTCCTTCAAAATATGAAAAAATTCAAGACAGCACTGGTATAAAGATGAATATAATCATGACCCTAAAATTCATTTTTTCTTCTAATTTTAAAAGAAATAAACACGTTTTTTTGTGGGCCCTAGGTATTGAGCCTATTATGCCTTACAGATAAGTCAGCCCTGTTAGAAATGTTTTAATATTGGCCGGGCACAGTGGCTCATGCCTGTAATCCCAGCATTTTGGGAGGTCGAGGTGGGCAGATCACTTGAGGTCAGGAGTTCGAGACCAGCCTGGTCAACATGGCAAAACCCTATCTTTACTAAAAATTAAAAAAATTTGCTTGGTGTGGTGGTGGGCACCTGTAATCCCAGCTACTCAGGGAGGCTGAGGCAGAAGAATTGCTTGAACCAGGAAGGCAGAGGTTGCAGTGAGCTGAGATAGTGCCATTGCAATCCAGCTGGGTGACAGAGTGAGACTCCTCTCAAAAAAAAAAAAAAAAAAGTTTTAATATGGAGACTATAACACAGACAGCTTCTTATGGCTGCACTGTGGGGGGGAAGTCTCAAGTGCCATAAGAGAGGCAGAAAGCAAGTTCCACCAGCGTTCAAAGGGAAAGGGTGTGAAGTCACATCTGGTTGGAAGACGGATCAGAAAGACTTCTTGGAGGTGGTAGTTTTAGGGAAAACAGAATTTATCAAGTAGGAGTGATAGAGAGTAGCTTCTCAAGAAATGACAATGGCTGGATCAAAAGCATGGTGTAAATATGGGGAATAGTTTGATGAGAATATGAGCTTTTCGTGGAGAAAAGTGTGACACGAAACGATTTTTTTTGAGACAAGGTCTTGCACTGTTGCCCAGGCTGGCATGCAGTGGCACAATTACAGCTCACTGCAGCCTCAGATTCCTGGGCTTAAGTGATCCTCTTCCCTTAGTCTCCCAAAATGCTGGGATTATACCACACCTGGCCATTGTGGGAGCTCTTTTTTTTTTTTTTTTTTTTTTTTTTTGAGATGGAGTCTTGCTCTGTTGCCAGGCTGGAGAGCAGTGGCATGATCTCAGCTCACTGCAACATGTGCCTCCCGGGTTCAAGTGATTCTCCTCCCTCAGCCTCCCGAGGAGCTGGGACTACAGGTGCCTGCCACCACACCCGGCTAATTTTGCTATTTTTAATAGAGACAGGGTTTCACCATATTGGTCAGGCTGGTCTCGAACTCCTGACCTCGTGATCTTCCCACCTCGGCCTTCCAAAGTGCTGAGATTACAGGTGTGAACCACTGCGCCCAGCCTGTGGGAGGTCTTAAATGACACAGTGAAACATTTTCATATTGTTTGACAGGCAATGGGGAGCTAGGGGAGGTTTTTTTTTTTTTTTTTTTTTTTTTTCCCCCTGAGTCGGAGTTTTGCTCTTGTTGCTCAGGCTGGAATGCAATGGCACAATCTCGGCTCACTGCAACCTCCACCTCCTGGATTCAAGGGATTCTCATGCCTCAGCCTCCCAAGTAGCTGGGATTACAGGCATCCACCACCATACCTGGCTCATTTTTGCATTTTTAGTAGAGACGGGGTTTCACCATGTTGGTCAGGCTCGTCTTGAACTCCTGACCTTAGGTGATCCACCCGTGTCAGTCTCCCAAAGTGCTGGGATTACAGGTGTGAACCACTGCGCCCATGCCTGGCCCAGCAGATATGACTGAAGCTGTGCTTAAGGAAGATAACTCTGGCTTCCCTGTGGGTGATGGATTGGAGAAGTGAGGTTGAGGACAATGGAGTCTAGGTAGGAGGTTATTGCCTAAGTCTAGGTAAGAAACAATGAGAGCTGAAGTAGAGCAGTGACAGTGGGACTGGAGAAGAATGGATAGATGTGAGACACATTTGGGGTAGAGCAGATATGACTGAAGGTTAATACAAAATAGATGAATTAATTAAGGAAGAAATGAAGGAATGAAGGACTGAATGAGTGCTACTTTCAATAATGTAGTTAACCTTAGTTGTGTACAGTTGGCTCTCCATATCTCCGGGGGAATATGTTTTGGGACCCTCTATGGATATCAAATTCCACATGTGCCCAAGTCCCTTAGTCGGCCCCCCATCCATGGATTTAACCAACTGTGGATCGAAAAGGTTGGCCCTATGTATTAGATTCCGCAGCACTGGGACTGTATTCCCATCTCAACTCCAAGAATAGGCCCAGACAAAGGACACATTCCAAGGAAGATTTTGTTTCTCCACTCTCATCACTAAGAAGATTTGTGCCTTGAAAGGGGGAAGCGCCCGGGAGTGGTGGCTCACGCCTGTAATCTCAGCACTCTGGGAGGCCAAAGTGGGTGGATTGCTTGTGCCCAGGAGTAGGCCAGCCTGGGCAACATGGCAAGACCTAGTATCTAAAATAAATAAATAAATAAAATTTTAAAAAGAAAAGGGGGAAGTTTCTCCAAGGGTGCAAACAAGGAATCCTTTCTATAGGATGTGGATTATCCTATTGCCTGACTTACTCCTCTCTGAACTTATTTTATATACCACCTAGTGGCTGCAATGAAGTGAGCTGGATTTTCACAAATGGCTGTAGCCAGCCTCATTACTTTCTAGTCACATATTTAGGTCTCCTGGGGTGAGCAGAACAAGTGTTCTAATTGCTTTCTAATTATTTTCCAGTTAATTGAACCTGCCTCCTGTAAGGGGTCTGAAGCAAGGTCTTTGTGTATATGGGTGGTGTGTATGTACACTTAGACATCTAACTGTGTGTTCCTGCTGGGCGCGGTGGCTCACAACTGTAATCCCAGCACTTTGGGAGGCCGAGGCAGGCGAATCACTTGAGCTCAGGAGTTCGAGACCAGTCTGGGCAACATGACGAAACCCCATCTCTACCAAAAATACAAAAATTAACTGGGCATGGTGGCGCATGCCTGTAATCCCTGCTACTCAGGTGGCTGAGGGAGGGGAATTGCTTGAACCTGGGAGGCAGAGGTCTCAGTGAGCCAAGATTGTGCCACTGCACTCCAGCCTGCGTGAAGGAGTGAGACTCTGTCTCAGCCAATCAATCAATCAGTCAGTCAGTCAATCAATCAATGTGTCCCTACACAGGGAAAATCAACGTGTCCCCACAGTCCAAGGCCCAACCTTAAATGATGTTTGCATTCTTCACTTGTTTCATTTCAGCTTAAACATTTCTCTGCTCCATCCGTGGAGCTAACTGGGAGCTGACCCTAGTTTGATCCCAGTGAAAAATATTAGGAGTGGCCAGGCACAGTGGCTCACGCCTATAATCCCAGCACTTTGGGAGGCTGAGGCAGGTGGATCACTTGAGGTCAGGAGTTTCAGATCAGCCTGACCAACATGGTGAAACCTGGTCTCTACTAAAAATCCAAAAAGAAAACATTAGCCAGGTGTGGTGCTATATGTCTGTAATCCCAGCTACTTGGGAGGCTGAGGCAGGAGAATCTCTTGAACCCGGGAGGTGGAGAGTGTAGTGAGCTGAGATCTGCCATTGTACTCTGGCCTGGGCAACAGGAGCAAAACTCCGTCTCAAAAAAAAAAAAAAAAATCAGGAATGGACTCCAGAACAGAGTTATAACACCGACTGTTATATGCCACATTTATCCTTTGTTTTTATTTATTCTTTTTTTTTTTTTTTTTAGGGATAGGGTCTTGCTCTGTAACCCAGGCTGTAATGCAGTGGTGTGATCACAGTTCACTGCAGCCTCAAACTCCTGGACTTGGGTGATCCTCCTGCCTTAGCCTTCCCAATAGCTGGGATAACAGGTGCATGCCACCATGCCTGGCTAATTTTAATTTTTTTTTTTTTGTAGAGATAGGGTCTTGCTATGTTATCCAGGCTGGTCTGGAACTCCTGGCCTCAAGCAGTCCTCCTGCCTTGGCCTCCCACAGTGCTGGAATTACAGGCATGAGCCACCGTGCCCAGCCATGCTGCATTTATCTATAGGACTTTTACAGAAGGCTTTTCTCTTTCTGTGTGCTTTTTCTTTTTTCTATGAAACAGACGTGTATTTATAAAAAACGCTGGGCACACACCACAGTGTTTGTAGAGAGGAAAGACTTAATTCACAGCTTCCTTTACGTCTACTATGTACATTGGAGTGCCTCAAGTGCTGGCATACCCGTAGCACAAATCTCTTCTGGTACCTACTTCAAGCTGAAGGTCTCCAAAACCAAACCTCCGGTAAGTTCTTCTTTTTCTCCCTTCAGTGAGAATGGAGACTTCCCTTGTCAAGGTCATCAATAACCCCATCTTTGCAAAATGTAATAGTCATACTTCTGACCTCATCTTACTTGGCTTATGCACAGTACTTGCCATAGCTGATCACTCCCTTCTCCATGAAACTTTCCATTTGGCTCCCAGAACAACATACTCTCCTGGTTTTCCTCCTGCCTCACTGACCATTCCCACACAGTCAGTCTCTACTGGTAGTCTCCCTGCCTCATACCAACCTCTTCATGTTGGATGGTCTGGAAACTCAGGCCTTGGACCTCTTCTCTATATTCTGTACTCTTCTCTATACTCAGTTCTATGGTCATCTCATCTAGTCTCATAGCTTTAAATGCCACCTAGAACCTATGATCCCCAAATTTATATCTCTAGCACAGACCCCTCCCACGTGGATGTTTAATAAATATCTCACTTATTGTATGTAAATCTGAACTTCTGATTTTGCCTTCTAAGCCTGTCTACTTGCAGTCTTCATCTTAGTTGATGGCCAGAATCCTTGGTGTCATCCTTCACTCTTCTCTCATATCCTTTATCTAATCCATTAGGAAATCCTATTGGCTCCACTTTCACAAACATATCCAGAATCCAAGAATTCTTTTTCTTTTTTTTTTAGACAGAGTTTTGCTCTTGTTGCCCAGGCTAGAGTGCAGTGGTACGATCTCGGTTCACTGCAACCTCCACCTCCTGGGTTCAAGTGATTCTCTTGTCTCAACCTCCCAGGTAGCTTGGATTACATGGTGTGTGCCACCATGCCCAGCTAACTTTTGTATTTTTAGTAGAGATGGAACTTTACCATGTTGGCTAGGCTGGTCTCGAACTCCTGATCTCAAGTGATCCACCTGCCTTGGCCTCCCAAAGTGCTGGGATTACAGGTGTGAGCCATTGCACCTGGCCCCCTAACAATTTCTAACTACTCCACTTCTATAATCCTGGTCCAAGACACCATCCTCTCTCACCAAGATCATGTCAATAGCCTCCTAATCAGTCTCTCTGCTTCCACCCTTGCCCTCATCATGTTTCTTTTCAATGTTGCAGCCAGCTGAGTGAGCCTTGTAAAACAAATTTTTCTTTTGCTTATTTTATTTATTCATTTTTGAGATGAAGTCTCACTCTGTCGCCCAGGCTGGAGTGTAGTGGTGCAATCTCTGCTCACTGCAACCTCTGCCCCTGGGGTTCAAGACTCTCCTGCCTCAGCCTCCTAAGTAGCTGGGACCACAGGTGCCTGCCACTGCGCCTGCCTAATTTTTGTATTTTTAGTAGAGATGGGGTTTCACCATCTTGACGAGGCTGGTCTTGAACTCTTGACCTCATGATCTACCAGCCTCGGCCTCCCAAAGTGCTGGGATTACAGGTGTGAGCCACCGCGCCTGGCCCTTTTTCTTTTTTTTAAGAGATGATGTCTTGCTTTGTTGCCCAGGCTGGTCTTGAACTCCTGGCCTCAGGCTATCTTCCTGCCTCAACCTCCCAAAATGCTGGAATTATAAGTGTGAACCACCACCCCAGCTATAAAACAAATCTGTCATTTTTGTGTTTAAAATTTTCCAAAAGCACTTCTCAAACTTTTTTTTTAAGACAGAGTTGCTCTGTCATCCAGGTTGGAGTAGAGTGGTACAATCAGAGCTCACTGCCGCCTCGACATCCCAGGCTCAGGTGATCCTCCCGCATCAGCCTCCCTTGTAGCTGGGACTACAGGTGCATACCACCATGCTCAGCTAACTTTGTGCTGGGATTACAGGTGTGAGCCACCACACCTGGCTGTAAAACAAATTTCTGTCTTTCATCTGTTTTATGTCTATCTATCTATCTATCATCTATCATCTGTCTATCATCTATCATCTATCTATCGTCTATCTATCTGTCTGTCTACTTATTGAGATAGGGTCTCACTTTGTCATTGAAAAGATAGGCTGCTCTATCTATCTACAGATAGATAGGGCAGTCTATTTATCTATCAATCTATTGATCGATCGATCTACCTACCTACCTACTTACCTACCTACCTACTTACTTACTTACTTATTGAGACAGGGTCTCACTTTGTCATCCCAGCTGCCCTCCTATCCATCTCTATCTATCTATCATCTATCTATCTATCTATCTATCTACCTACCTACCTACCTACCTACTTATTGAGACATGGTCTCACTTTGTCATCCCAGCTGGCAGGCATTGGCATGACCAGGGCTTACTTCAGCTTCTACTTCCTGGGCTCAAGTGATCCTCCGGCCTCAGTCCCCCAAGTAGCTGGGACTACAGGGATGCACCACCATGCCTGGCTTTTTTTTTTTTTTGAGTCTTCATAGAGACAAGGTCTTGTTATGTTGCACAGACTGGTCTTGAACTCCTGACCTCAGGTGATCCACCCACCTCAGCCTCCCAAAGTGCTGGGATTACAGGCATGAGCCACCATGCCTGGCCAATTCCTCTGTTTAAAACTTTCCAAAAGTGCTTTTTGAAATTTAAAGTGCTGGTGGGCGTGGTGGCTTATGCCTGTAATCCCAGCACTTTGGGAGGCCGAGGCGGGCGGATCACCTGAGGTCAGGAGTTCAAGGCCAGCCTGGCCAATATGGTGAAACCCCATCTCTACTAAAAATACAAAAATTAGCCGGGCATGGTGGTGCATACCTGTAGTCCCAGCTGCTTGGGAGGTTGAGGCAGGAGAATGGCTTGAACCCAGGAGACAGAGGTTGCAGTGAGCTAAGACTGTGCCATTGTACTCCAGCTTGGGCAACAGAATAAGACTGTCTCAAAACAAAACAAAACAAAACAAAACACAGAAAAGAAAAAGTGCATACAAATTACCTGGGGATCTTGCTAAAATAAAGATTCTGATTTAGCAGGTCTGGGATAGGGCTTGAGATTCTGCATTATTAACAAGCTCGCAGGCCATGCTGAGGCTGTGGGCCCAGAGACTACCTTTGAGTAGTAAGGGCCTACAAGGCCTTGTATGATCTGGTTCCTTGTTATTTATGCTTTCCCACTACTCCTTCCCTTCCACGTGCTCTGGCCATTCTCAGCTTGCTTCTCCTCAAATAAGTCAGGTATAGTCCTGCCTCAGGGCCTTTGCGCTTGCTGTTTCTTTTGACTAGAACACTTTCCCCTAGCCATGTGAACTGTCTGCTCCCTCACCACCTTTTTCACTCACGTTCCTATGCTTTTTCTCCATAGCACTTACCACCTTCCCTTCTAATATTCTATATAATTTTGTTTTTTAGATGGAGTCTTGCCCTGTCTCCTAGGCTGGAGTGCAGTAGCACGATCTCGGCTCCCTCCAACCTCTGCCTCCCATGTTCAAGTGATTCTCCTGCCTCAGCCTCCTGGGTAGCTGGGACTACAAGGCACATGCCACCACAGCCGGCTAATTTTTGTATTTTTAGTAGACATGGGGTTTTACCATGTTGGCCAGGCTGGTCTTGAACTTCTGACCTCAGGTGATCTGCCCACCTCAGCCTCCCAAAGCGCTGGGATTGCAGGCATGAGCCACCACACTTGGCCCTATAATTGTTTTATTATTGTCCACTCCCTCCACCAGAATGTAGGCTCCACTAAGGCAGGGATTTTTGTCTTGCTGTAAAACAAGGCCTGGCAAATAGTAGGCACTCAATACATGCTTGAAGGAATGATTACTGGTATCCACATGAATAAGAAATATGTTAACTTGATAGTTGTTGTGAAAAGAGTCAAAATAACATTCATGAATCTAGGGGAGGGGTCCTCAGAAGAGCAGGGCTGGCACCAAGCATAATGCCTGAAACACAACAGACATAAACATTTTATTTCCTCTTTGCCTTCCCATCCTTTCCTGAAAGTTATTTGTACCTTGGCCTGGTGCTGAGGCTTTATATATGACCACACAGTCAGTGAGCCATCTATTTCCTATATTTATCCTGTCCTAGTACAAATATGTCTATTCAGAGAGTTTGGAAACTGGAGTAATCAAAAAATTTGGAACTTGCAGTATGTGGAGATTTTACTTCTCCTGGTCATATATCCTTCTACCAGCTGTCTTGCTAACTGCAGGTCAGAGATCAGGAAGTAAGTTTGGTAGAGGTGAACATGACTACACCAGAGACCACACAGAGAGAGGTCTTGGGAGAGTGGCTCCTGCTCAAAATGCCAAGTATAATTTTGGAGGCAAGGATGCAGACGGACTACTGAGACAATATTACAACCTACATGTTTATGCTGCTTTAAAAATGTTTCAAACCTTTTCATCTATATTAATTCATTCTCATGCTGTTCCTAAGAGGTAGAAATTGTCAGTTGAGTAAACAGGAGCATGTAAAGAAGGTTAATGACTTACACTCCTATTAATGAGGAGCATAAGCCTGTCCCAACTTATTTCTAATTTTTTGAAGATTCTTAAGATATTTGTTGTCAAAAAGATCTTTGGGGAACAGAGGTTTAAAGTGATGAAAAAACTATCACTCTCCAGGTTAAGGTCACCCAAAGAAATTAAAAACAAAAAACAAACTATCACCTACCGATTCCCAGTTCATAAGCAAAATGAATTCTAGAAATTCAAGAGTATGCATATGGGCAAGTGTAGGGAAGATTGGGCCGGGCATGGTGGCTCATGCCTGTAATCCCAGCACTTTGGGAGGCCAAGGCAGGTGGATCACTTGAGGTCAGGAGTTTGAGACCAGCCTGGGCTACAAGGTAAAACACTGTTTCTACTAAAAATACAAAAATTAGCTGTGTATGGTGGCGGGTGTCTGTGATCCTAGCCACTTGGGAGGCTGAGGCAGGAGAATCACTTGAACCCAGGAGGTGGAGGTTGCAGTGAGCTGGAATCACACCACTGCACTTCAGCCTGGGAGACAGCAAGACTCCATCTCAAAAAAACAAAAAGAGTTATGACTGGTCTGGGCTAACAATTGTCCTTCTCTTTCTTAGGATGCACCCATTGGTGTTTTTTTTGTAGGTGAAGAGCAAGAATTAGTTCACAGGTAATGAACATTGGGAGGTTTGTTTTAAAAGGGTGGGAGAGAGGTCATCACACACCAGGAATCCAGCAGTTGCACAGTCACAGATATTTCATATAATGGTCACTTTTCTTTTTTGGACCACCAACCCCAGACACTAAGAAAAACAATTTTCTGGAACAATTTCAGCCCATTCTAATGAAATTGTTTTTCTTAGTGTCTGGTTTTTCAGTCATTATAAGCTTGAAGATTAGTTGCTGGGGTAGGGTAGGGACAAAGTGGGTCATGTCTTTTGTTTCTATGGAAAACTTCAATATCACATAAAATTAACTTATGTTTAATAATCCCTTTTATAGCAGCTCTCTTAAAGTATCTTTACATATAAGCTCATTAATTTTCATTGACTGGGCTTAAGAAACGTAAAGGATAGATAGAGAAAACCCTAGCTACCTCCCCTCCCCACCAATAAAAGAGGCTTCTTGCTTACTAGGAATATAAAAGAGTAAATAAGAATCCCCTTTGTTTGATTTGAAAAGCTTTTGATTTAAAAATACTTTAAAAGTGTTTGTTTTTCTTCCTCTGTAGACCAGGAATGGTTTGCTTTCGAGAACACTGGCAGAAGAACCTTACTGATGCCAAATATGATTTCATGGCGGCATTCCCCTCCATATTTGATCGTGTCTGATTCTTACAGAATGTCTTAGGATTGTTTTTCTAATCAGGTTATATTAAGAAGACAATACAGCACATCAAACCACATAATATTTATTAATAAACTTGTGGCATACAATCCAGCTGTATTTTTTTGCATTCATTTTCCATTCTGCAACCTCCATCACATCAGCAGTAAGCTGTTTTCTAAAATACTTTTTCCCATCACTGTATGCATCACTTCTGAGACTTACAGGTATACAGCTGCGTTTAGAGAGTTGCTAAAATTCACCTATCAGACCAAACTAAGACCGGTACTTGGCTGTTTCCCATCTGAGCCTAAGTCTCCAGCTCAGACACATCTCTTATGGGCACAACTGGGAACAACAAAATGGCAACAGTTCTACAGCTCATAATATAACCAGTCTGAAGGGTTCCCCTACTCACAGACCCCTTCGTTTACTGTGAGTTAAGCCTCACTGCTAAATAATGTATTTTGAAACTGGAAAACCAGGCATGCTGCCTTCCATAATACACCACTATACTCATGATGGCAGGAGGGTGGCTTGAGGACTAGGGGCAATGACACGGAATGGATTCAATCATCGCCCTTACTTATCTCTGATCGTCTTCCCATCCTCACACCAAATAGTCACTTGTTCCCACCTTCCCTATAAACCTCTCTTGCCTGGCTGCAAAATTTTAAGACACCAAAGACAAAATTACATTATGCTCTGAGTGATGACTTACAAGTACATCAGAATATTTATTTACATAGAAAAGCACTGGAAAGGAGGAACACAAAATATGAAAGACAACTGACACAGTACTGAAATTTTTCTTTTCTTTACTGCTATATTTGTACAATAAATAAAAAAGGAGGGAAAACCCTATCAGAGCAATGGGCAAGGAGGTGGTAAACTAGGTAAGTCTCCTTGGAGAACAAAAAATATATTTAAAATACAATAGCCCTACAACTGACTTATGGCTCAGGTGACTAAACACAATTTGAAGCAGTAACAACACTCATGAGCTGAAAATAAAATACATTTAGCCCTTTTATTCTTCCTGCTTCTTTCCCAAAGAATATGCCATTGAAGCTGTTCTTGATATCACAATATTCAAACATCACAAAATTTCTGCATTTAAACTACCTTGCCTACTGAAAATGAGAGAACATAATCATTCCATCTCTAGGAATGTAACCAAGAAAAAAACAAAGAGAATAGGTTTTTTTTTTTTTTTTTTTTTTTTTTTTGAGACAGTCTCACACTGTCGCCTGGGGTTGGAGTGCAGTGGCATGATTTCAGCTCACTGCAACCTTGGCCTCCTGCCTCAGCCTCCTGAGTAGCTGGGATTATTCAAGCAATTCTCCTGCCTCAGCCTCCTGGGTAGCTGGGATTATAGGCGCCTGCACCATGCGCAGCTAATTTTTTTTTTTTTTTTTTTTTTTTAAAAGATGGGGTTTCACCATGATGGCCAGGCTGGTCTTGAACTCCTGACCTCAGGTGATCCACCCACCTCGGCCTCCCAAAGTGCTAGGATTACAGGCGTGAGCCACCATGCCCAGTCAATTTTTTGTATTTTTAGTAGAAACGGGGTTTCACTATGTTTGCCAGGCTGGTCTCAAACACCTGACCTTGTAATCCACCTGCCTTGGCCTCCCAAAGTGCTGGGATTACAAGTGTGAGCCACCACGTCCGGCCGAGAATAAAATTTATAAGTGGGTATTATAAAATTCAGGTTTTATTATACAGGGAAGTAGATGGATTGAGACTCAAAACTCTGGGAACTAGTTTCTTTTTAACTTTTGGAAATTATAGATATATTAGGCTAGGCAGCAACTGTGATTAGGTATAAATAAACAGAAATCATTTCAAATTCAGGGGTCAAAAATGTCGCTACATGCTGACTCTTTAGTTCAGTAGTTGTAGGTTAAAAGTAGACATTTCCTGGAACATATATTTAATAGTATTTAAAACCGTTAATACCATTTAATAATAAAACTTTTGGCTGGGTGTGGTAACTAATGCCTATAATCCCAGCACTTTGGGAGGCTGAGGCAGGCGGAATGCTTGAGATCAAGAGTTCAGGACCAGCCTGGGCAACAAGGTGAAACCCTTTCTCTACTAAAAATAAAAAAAAATTAGCCAGGCACGGTGGTGTGCGCTGGTAGTCCCAGCTGCTCGGGAGGCTGAGGTGGAGGATGACTTGAGTTGGGGAGACAGAGGCTGCAATGAGCCAAGATTGCACCACTGCACTCTAGCCTGGGTGACAGAGGGAGACCTTGTCTCAAAAATAATAACAACAATACAACTTTTACTCTATACTTTGAAATATGACTGCCTTATTTAAACACTTGAAAAACAACCACTTAAAAATATAAGGCAAGAGGGCATTTTATAATAGTATAATCAGAATTTCCTTATCACCCAGGTAATTTAAATTTACCATAGGCATGTAATAATAATGCAGATCAAACAACCTTAACAAAAATGGCCAGTCATGGCAGCTCACACCTGTAATCCCAGCATTTTGGGAGGCTGAGGTAGGCAGATCACTTGAAGTCAGGAGTTTGAGACCAGCCTGGCCAAGATGGCAAAACCCCATCTCTACTGAAAATACAAAAATCAGCCAGGCGTGGTGGTGAGTGCCTGTAATCCCAGCTACTCGGGAGGCTGAGGTGGGAGGATCACTTGAACCCAGGTGACAGAGGTTGCAGAGAGCTGAGATTGCACCACTGCACTCTAGCCTCAGTGACAGAGTGAGACTCTGTCTCAAAAAACAAAAAAAACCAGAAAACCAACCTTAACAAAGACAGCCAAAACTTCCAGGGTTCCCTCCCCGATTCACTCTTCTGATCTAATTAAAACTGAACAAAATAAACCAAGGAAAGAGATCATGAAATCATAGTCCCACAGCTTTCCATTTCTTCCCAACTTAAAACTAATAAAGTAAGGAGGTTCTATACATTAAGGATTAAACTGATGACAGATGCAAAAAATAAAAAATAAACAGAAAGGTTTAACAATGTTTAAAATGAAATCTGCTTAGTACATAAAACACAGTTAAAAATATTTAATATTGTTTTAGTTTTATCCTTATAAAACAGTTAAGCTAAAACACTGACTCATTATATTTTTCCTTATCAGAACTCTTGACCATAGCTGACTCCTATTCTTTTTGATGTTATCCTATCCTCAAACTCAGATCAGCTCAGGTTGAAATAAAGTACTTAAATGGGCATAAGAGTAGACTTCTCAAGACTTTATATTTGAAAGAACCATTTTTAAGTAACTTATTAAGAATTTAAAAAAGCTAATGTTCACACTTCAATTCAACAAGTCTGTGAGTTAGTTTGCTTTTTGGTGTGTTTGTTGGTTTTACAGTGGAGGTAGGGACTTTAAATCTTATTATTTTCAGGCCAGATCACATATTGTAGTATACAAGTCAGTTTTCAAATTCCAGATTTGCTTTTTGCAGCAATGCCTTCATTTTGTTAACAAAAGTGGACTCCTATATGTTTCTATGAAGTCCATTTATAACACATTCAACACAGAGGAGTGGTAATTTCCCAAAAGTTCAGTTGGGGTAGAGGTGGGGGTGGGGCGGGCATCACATATAGCTAATAGTAGCAGTGTCTCATGGTGTGAGACTGAAGTTTCTCATCTCACTAACACTTTTTGTCCATGCCACCTCCTCCAATAGAGAATTTTACTCATAATTTGGATTTTTTTTTTTTTTTTTGAGATGGAGTTTCACTCTTGTCACCCAGGCTGGAGTGCAGTGGCACGATCTCAGCTCACTGCAACCTCTGCCTCCAGGATTCAAGCCATTCTCCTACCTTAGCCTCCCAAGTAGCTGGGATTACAGGCGCCCACAATCACGCCTGGCGAATTTTTGTATTTTTTTGGGTAGAGATAGGGTTTCACCATGTTGGCCAGGCTGGTCTTAAACTCCTGACCTCAGGTGATCCACCCACCTCAGCCTCTCAAAGTGCTGGGATTAATAGCCGTTAGCCACCGCACCCAGTTCATAATTTGGATTTTTAAACCAGAAAGTTATTATGGTCAATCCAAAATAACCCAAAGAACTTGTTAAAGTTCTATCAATAAGCAGCTTTTTACTGAAAGACTGAAAGAATTAAATAGAAGGCACAGTAGCAATGTAAAGCTTTCTCAGAGCATGACAATCTTTTTGTATGCACGTGTGGAGCTCAGACTTTCGTTTTTGTTGTTAAAAATGTCTCTGGACAATCAGAAAATCCTTATTTGTCATCTTTCCCTTTGGTCTTTCTGTAAACCATTTCTCGAAAACTGGCCAGAATCTTGTTCTCTCTCTTTCGTCTCTCTTCTTGGTTAAAGGATGCAAGGGCTCTCTTCTCATCAGCACTATAGATCTGGTTTTCTTTCCGTAGTCGCACAGCCTCCATTCGGCGATGCCTGGAGAGAATTTTATTTTTGGCTTAATTTCTCAGTAATTATTTTTATAGTATATCCTCATTAATCCTTTCTTAATACAGAGTGGCCTATTTAAGACCTGACAAATAAAAACTATTTTTTGAAATGGGTTAAGTTTCCAAAAGATCACTTATTAATATTTTAGCTGCCTGACACGTCCCTTTTTTTTTTTTTTTTTTTGAGACAGAGTCTTCCTCTGTTCCCCAGGCTGGACTGGGGTGGCATGATCTCAGCTTACTGCAACCTTCGCCTCCTGGGCTCAAGTGATTCCCCCACCTCAGCCTCCTTCCTGAGTCGCTAGGATTACAGGCGGCTACCAGCAGGCCCAGCTAATTTTTGTATTTTTAGTAAGATGGGGTTTCACCATGTTGGCTAGGCAGATGTCGAACTTCTGACCTCAAGTAATCTGCCCACCTCAGCCTCCCAAAGTGGTGGGATTACAGGCGTGAGCCATCGCGCCTGGCCCTGACATGTCCTTTGATTCGTTTCCAGTATTCAAATAATGATCTCTGATTTCCTGTCAACATAGTAAATGTTATCTTTCTTTTCCTTTCCGTTTTTTTTTTTGAGACATAGTCTGGTTGTGTCACCCAGGCGGGAGTGCAGTGGTGCTATCTCGGCTTACTGGGACCTTGGCCTCCCGGCCTCAAGCAATTCCCCCACCTCAGCCTCCGGAGTAACTAGGACTACTGGCATGTGTCACCATGACTGGCTAACTTTTGTATTTTTAGTAGAGATAGGGTTTTGCCATGTTGGCCAGGCTGGCCTCGAACTCCTGATCTTAAGTGATCCACCTGCCCTGGCCTCCCAAAGTCCTGGGATTACAGGTGTGAGCCATCGCGCCTGGCTGCTATCATTAATTTCAAATACTGGCCGGACATGGTGGCCCATGCCTGTAATCCCACCACTTTGGGAGGCTGAGGAGGACGGATCACCTGAGGTCATTAGTTCAAGACCAGCTTGACCAACATGGAGAAACCTCGTCTCTACTAAAAATACAAAATTAGCTGGGCGTGGTAGCACATGCCTGTAATCCCAACTACTCAGGAGGTTGAGGCAGAATTGCCTGAACCTGGGAGGCAGAGGTGGCGATGAGCCAAGATTGTGCCATTGCACTCCAGCCTGGGCAACAAGAGTGAAACTCCATCTAAAAAAAAAAAAAAATTTCTAATACGGAGGTTATATGCCTAATTTCTTTCCAGTAAAGCAACTAGAAATGGGCAAATTATTAAACTTCCTAGGTGATATATCCATTTGCCTTTGTGGAATTGATAGTAGGATAGATAAAAGATTTATGCTGTCATTAATCAGGTGGAACTTCCTTCAAGGTTCTAATTTACCATACAACCAAAAGAATCAAGTCTAGGCTGGGCATGGTGGCTCACACCTGTAATCCCGGCACTTTGGGAGGCTGAGGTGGGCAGATCGCCTGCCGTCAGGAGTTTAAGACTAGCCTGGCCAATGTGGTGAAAACCCGTCTCTACTAAAAATACAAAAATTAGCTGGGCTTGGTGGCAGGCGCCTGTAATCCCAGCTACTCAGGAGGCTGCAGCAGGAGAATCACTTGAATCCAGGAGGCGGAAGTTGCAGTGAGCAGAGATGGTGCTACTGTACTACAGCCTGGGAGACAAGAGTGAAACTCCACCTCAAAAAAAAAAAAACAAAAAAAAAACCAAGTCTAAAATCTATAAATGAAGAGCAGTTTTTGGTCAGTGGATTTAACTTCCAAGTCTCCCTCTGTCACTCAGGCTGGAGTGTGCAGTGGTGCAATCTTGATTTATTGCAACC